AACTTTCTTTTTTTAGGGTTTATACCAACAAGCAGCCCAAGATAAATCATAGTTAATGAACCCAAACCACAACGTAGAGGCATACATATTGGTTTTGCTACTGGAACGGTACATACCAGATATCGAAATTTTTCGTGTACTACTTTGGATTTATCACTATAAATATATATTTTTATAAATTAAATATTAAAATTTAAAATAATGATAAGATAAACTAATATTTAAGACCTCAACTTCTAATATATGCATCTTTTTCGCCCCTTCACTTTAAGTTAAGGAACTAAAAATGTGCATATTTAGACAAACTTAATGGAGTAATTGATAGAAGTATAAAAAAAAAAAGATACATTTTTCATAATTGGTGGACTAAAAAGGTAACGAAAAAGTTAAAGGATGAAAATTATGCAAAACATTAAAATTGAGGACCAAAAATGGAATTTACCCCCTTCAAATTTGACTTGAATTATACAGCCCAATTTTTTGATGTACCCATTAGCACGTCAAAATACCAACTGATACATCAAAATTTGATCTAAAAAAAATTGAATCTAGTACCATTTTGGTTTAATGTAAAAATCAGTACATATCAACCATACCGATTAGTACAAAACGATACCAACAACTATGATAGCAGCTGCTCCATTTAACCACTCATTTGATACATTAAACCCATAAAGATGACTTTTACTAAAATTAGTATTTAGCCCAAAAATCACGTCAAACCATCTTAAAATAGCTTTGATTATTCTTATATTCTCCACCATTACTTTTCCCATGAAAACTGTGTCATTAGCAAATTGAAGTAAAGATAGATTCCACCTTTGCTGTCTAACTTCCACCCCACTCAACAATCCTTCACATTCTGCTTTTTTCACTAACCCATTTGATCTTTCCCCAACAAGTAAGAATAAAAAAGGAGAACAAATCCCTTGTCGAAGCCCTTTACCTTCTGAAAATTCCTTCATTGGACTGCTGTTAATTAGGACAAAAATTCTAACTGTTGAAAGACACTCATGAATCCACCTCCTCCACTTCTCACCAAACCCCATCCTCTCTATCAACCAATTGAGAAAAGACCATTCAACATAGTCACATGCCTTTTTAAAGTCCCCTTTAAAAATAAAACTTTCCTATTTTTGTTGCTTCACCTTATCCACCACCTCATTAAGTATCGACACACTATCAACCAACTATCTTTCCCCCACAAAAGTTTATTAAGCTTCACTAACAATATATGCCCACATCGTATTTAAATGATTTGCCAAAACCTTAGCTAACAATTTGTGCAAACACAAATTAAATTAATAGGTCTGTACTCCTTAAGCAACACCAAATTTAACTTCTTCAAAATCAAAGCCAAGATAGAAGAATTTAAACTGCAAACTAACCTCCCATGCTGATGAAATTCTATCATAAG